GCTTTTCTTCCCACCAATTAAAAAACATCTTTTTACATTTTATTTAGCTCTTTATTGTCGAAAAATGGAATCTAGACAGAAGCACCCCTCACAGTTCAAAAGAAAATAATGAAATTTATACCGTCCCGACCTCCCTATCCTTGGGCGTCGGTGACCTCATTTGCTTGAGGATGGACCCTGCGAGCGCAGAGCGCCAAGGCCCTTTTGGCGTGGGTTTCAGGGCCCGCTTGAGGGCCCCGAAAATGTTGGGGTTGTAGATGCTCTGTGGTACAATCTCAGGCGATGGCCATTTCCCTTCAGTATTTGAGCAAGATATGTTACGATTACAAGCATTTTTTTCTTAAATTTGTTTAGAATATACTCATGTTTCCTCCATACATGGCCCTGGGGACGCGGACGTAGTACACTTATCTGAGTTCTGGTCCCCTAAACTTACAGGCATGGGCGCAGCGTGCTCTGGTAAAGTACGCGTGTGGCCGATTTAAAGAAAGTGTTCTTTTTGGGTTTTTTTTTGGGGGGGGGGCATGACCCACAATCTTTAGACGACTTCGTTTCCTTTTTTGAAAGAGATCAGAGATCAGCCCCCCTTTACACAGGGCTGCGACCTTTGTACCACCTGTGAGCGACCAAAAATGGCCAGGACGCTCAATGGTCGCCTAAACCCAGAAAATCCTGTTTCTATGTAACTACTCCAGCGATCCTTGTAGCTCCCATGAACCACCAAAACTGCAATTTTCGGGCATTTTCATGTCGAGCTACGAGCGACCTGTGCATCCACTGAGCCAATTGCCTGCCTCCCCTGTGCTTCCCCTGTGCAACCTACGGCCATGGTGGCTCAAGGGTTGCCGTGGTCGCCGAATGGAGGCACAGCGGTTGCCACAGTCATCGTTCAATGCACGCTACTGGTCGGCCAAAGGAGGCACGTGGGAGGCAGAAGTATCGCCCAGATTGACGGTAAAATTTGCAACAGAACGGATCTTTTTATACGTGGCGATTATATTTCAACCAATAACAGCTTTAACTATACAGTAAGGGAATAAATGTGTGCTCGGCCGGTTTAAACACTCTGTTTAAGACCGGTTGGAGTCTGGATGCTGACAATAACCCGAGCCAAAGGCAAGGGTAAAACAAATAAATTTGTTTCGGTCCAAAAGTCAAAACAATGTAAACAATTATAAATTTCCTACGATTTAAGTAACAGTTTTACTTCATTTTTCTCTCGAAACACCTCTCTTGCTATATTATGGTTTGTCCATGCCATCGTAAACAACTCCATGCATGCATATCATGCATATGGAGATTGGCACGCGCGTCACGCGTACTGCGCAGAACGCAGCCATGCCGGTGTAGTGTAAATTTAGGACTCTGAATTACTGGCTCACTGGTAGTATGGCGCATTCCTACGTTAACACTGTGGACGTTCCACTAATAAAACGGTAACTAACACGCACCGAATTTCATAGGAGTCCAAATTTCATGTGGCACTGGAAAAGTGTTTAAGACCAGGCAGCCGGTCTTTATTAACCGTGACGGGCTTTCAGCCAATATCAATGGGTAAACTGTCTTAGGTATTTATGAATATTGTTTAAAGCAGGACCGCAAGCTGGGCGAAGATTGGTTGGGAAGTTAGAATGAACCCCAAGCCCTACTCGTTCGTTTATGAGTTCCGCAGGGTCCTCTCTTGTTCACGTATACAGGGTCCATTATAATCGACGAGTAAACTTTTGGTCATTATTACGCATGCATGGCTGTTACATTTGGGTTTTTCCCCCCAACAGGTTACTGGAACAAGTTGATCTGCTCGGTTGTTTTTGGTCCTCACTGTCACCATGGCAACGGATTTTTCACTGGGGCTTTTTCAGTTAGATCTGCCTTTCAACAATCCAGACTTGAAGAAAGACGCTTTCAAGATGAAGCTGCTAGACATTGCGGCGGACTTAGAGGCGCGAAAAGGCCGACCTGAGGAACTTGCCATCCTCAATCTGATTGGTGTGTTCAATTGCCGGCTCGAACGCTACAAGGATGCCGAAGAAAAATTTCGCGATGTCCTCTCTAAAGATGAACACAACCTCAACGCTCTAGCAAACATGCAGTACCTTTTTGAGAAACTTTACAGAACAGTAGACGGTAGACGATACAAAAGCAAACTAGACATGTACCTGAGTAAGTCTACGGAGGAGGCAGTCGGTGTTAGGATGAAAGCAAGGTGCTTAGCAGAGCAGGCATATGCTTATGCTTGCGATATGCACACAGATCGTGACAGTGTCGGTAGAGAGCGGTTCATAGAATCCAATGATATCTTCCAAAGGACACTGGAGCTTGGTGGTGATCTGGTAGAGACGGCGGAGAAGGACTTTTGGAAATTCTGCATTGCCAAGAACGCGCATAAGATTTTCGACAGGTTAAGCTTCGGTGAACATCGCGTTCAAGCCACAGACTACATGGACACAGCTATCGGGATCTTCTATGAAATAACACAGAAGGATCCCGGTGATTCCAAATATCAAGGCGAAAGTTGGCGCCATTTGGGAGACATTCTCCGCAAGGTTCAGGTAAGGAAGCACTACAGCTGTGCCCATTTGCCGGACGAACTGCAGAAGTACGTTGCAGACCCGGAGCTATGCATGAAGAAGGCACTCGAGTGTGACCCGGACAATCCCAGGATCCTAGCTCGCTACGCAAACTTTGTGTATCACCTCAGGCATGACACAAAAGAGGCACTGAGGTTGCTAGATAAGTCAATCACATTAGACAACAGCGACTATAACTTCTACGCTTTCAGTACAAGAGGAACAGTTCGGCTGAAGTTCTACAATTGGAAGATGGGAATGGCAGAGAAAGATAATAAACGACACTCTAAACCAGATCGAAGCGTGCTAGAACTCGCCAAAATTGATACGGAGAGGGCAATTGACATACGCCATGCATCATGGGACTTGCTAAATATCGCGGACGTGTATCACCTTTTGGCCCAGTGTGACCCAGATGAGCCCAAGGAGTCAAAAAGGCAATACCTGGAGAAGGAATTCGAGTACTTGAAAAGGGCTGCAGATTGTGAAGCCGGTAACCGGTTAATTTCAGTGAAACGCTTGCTGGGGCGCTGCCTATTTGACTTGGGCCACTATCGCGAGTCCATTCAGTTGTATGATGAAACTTTGAATTTGGAGTCAGCCACTTCGCAATATACAGGTTATTTCTATGAACAATTCCGCAGTTATTTGTGCCTACTGCAGAGCGATCCAAAGGATGATTTCCCTTTGGAGAAGATGGCTCAGTCCTTGAGGCAGGCCGTTGCAAAGTATGGGACGAGCGCCCTCATCAAGCACGTCTTTGGCACATTGAGAGAAGAGTACAAACACGAGGTTCAGGTCTTCACCGACTACTGTAAAACAATCCCGAGCCACGACAGTCTCTTGTTTGTGCTGACTTCTAACGAACCACCTTCTCCTCGTACCCCACCTCCTCGCCCTGGTGGGTTACTCAAGGAGTCTTGGGAAATCCCAGAGAAAGAGAAAGAGGATCACGGTGTTGGAGAGCCCAAAAAGGAAAATCCCAAGACCTTGGACAGTCTGTCTCCGGTCGTACCATCTGAACATACTCCTAGCCTGATTGATGCCGGCAAAGATGTGGCCCCCTCACCAGATAGTGGGCTCGAAGCACCCAACCAATACCCAGATGAACAAGCAAGTCAAGCTACTGTATCAGCAGTGGCATCCAACCAAACCCCAGATAAGCCAGCAGATGGGGCTGCCGCATCACTAGTGGAGGGAATAAGAAGCATGGCCATTACAGATTCACCACCTGAAAAGGGCTGTGGTCGGAAAGATTTTGACTTCTTTGTGGTACACACGGCAAGTGACGCAGAGTGGGTGCACGAAGAATTGCTTCCCAAGTTGGGGATCAGAAAATTAAAGGGGTGCACAACCCAAGAATATGCCCTGGCAGGTTCCTTCGTCCTTAGTAATGAGTTGCATTTGATGGAAAGCAGTGCTTGCATTTTGTTCGTCCTTACAAGTGGTTTCGAGACGGAATGCGAGTTTCTCATGCATCATGCTCTGAAACTCAAGAAAGCCGGTCACGTCATTTTCCCGCTCCGAAGGGGCAAATCTGCAGTTCCACGGGAGCTTCAAGATATCCTCTTTTGCTTCGATGCTACTCGGGAGAGAGTAAATTGGGATAAATTAGCTCAAGACATTAAGCGTCAGATCCATGCAGCTAAGGAATTGCCCGTGCATGATTAGGTCACCAAAGGCAGAAAAAAATACACTCCAGTACTGTTTATTATAGAGTGCTCAGCAGGTGCCGGCGTCGTTCCTCACAAACGAAGATACACCACCCAATGATGATGTCCGTTGCCACTGATGTGTCCAGCGCCATATTTAAATCCTGAACTTAGTCCATCCCTGCTAAGTACTGCAGGCTTACCACTGAGCTCCCCACTAAAATACCACCGGCTAATTCAACCACCGAGTTCATGAACATGCGTACAACAATATGCACATTTTTTTAGTGGTTTTTCCCTTGGCCGGCGTACTTTATAGAAACTGTATACTCAGTGCTTGCGAGAAAAACTATCACAAGCTTAATCAAGTGGGATTCGAACCCACGACCTCCTGCTTACTAGTGCAGACGTCTTACCACTCGACCACCGCGCTTTCCCGAGTCGGCTGGCCGGTTCGAGTCTGATGATGTATAGATGCGGGTACCACAACCGAACTTTAAAAAAATACGTCGTCGAAGTGCAAATCCCAATATAAAATTTACATCTCCCTGACGCAAATTCCATCTTATAAACAAAAAACAATGTAGACTTGAGGACGAGTCGCTAGACAGTCGTGTTTTGTCCGTCGGCGCGCCGCTGTATCTTATGCCGGGTCTCGACGCGCGTGATACCTACTAAAGAACGATTTAGGACGGATATTATACGACCATTATAGCGCAATGCATGTACATTACATTTCCAAAAAAGAGGACCAATTGGTGGCAGTCTAGCTGTACCCATGGAGAAGCATCCGTGTTATAGCTTCTATTGCAAGCTCACCAACAACTCAGACTCAGTATTTATCTTCAAACCATAACGCTAACTCATTGCGATCAATCAGTGCGTTGTCATTTTTACTACCTCTTTCGCGAGGTAAACGTAAAATAAATATTTACCCGTCTCGATAGACGGAGCTGCTAGAAGAAGTTTGCTAAGCACACAAAATATTTGCTCACTAGTAAAACATGTTACCAGCCAAAGCTTTATGCAGTTTATGAAACTTTTGTTGTAATTGGTATTCAACATGCGGTTCCCATTCGCGAACCTGACTCACGAAGTCGACGAACCGCACGCAAAGTGCTTTGGATTGCCCAGAGCAAGAGGATCACGGTGTTGGAAAGCTCGACACGGAAAATTCCAAGACCTTGGATGGTCTGTCTCCAGATTCATCATCTCAACAGGTTCCGCGCCTGATCGATGCCGGCAAAGATGTAGCCTGCTCACAAGATAGTGGGCTCGTGGCACCAAACCAAACCCCAGATAAGCCAGCAGATGAGGCATCACTAGTGGAGGGAATAAGAACAGGTAGGTTTCCGTTACAAGAACATTGTAAAAGATTATTCCAACACTTAACAATGGATCAGTTTGACAAGTAGTAAAGGAAACGTTCCCCTTTATATTCGTTCCAATTAACGCCCGAGTGAAAATGTATACTTTCTCAGTAAGCAAAAAGTCACAGAAGTTGATATTTGTCAGGAGAAAATTGAATTCGTTAAAGAGCATGGATAGTTTATTTTCAGAACGTAAATGACAGAAAATTAAATGAAATGGAACTATTCCCGATTCAGCTATTGATAATGATCAAATTGCAATGGACTTCTCGTATGTAACGTCAGATAAGGCAGGTCTTTGTTCCTCGATTACACGCATGAGAAGGCGCACTGTATTTTCATTGTCAACGAAGTTGAAAGACAAAATCTCAGCGAGGAAGAACCGTGCAAAGGGTCTATTTCAATCGATTCACCTGTCTAATAACAGGACTACCAAGGGTAGACTGCTCAGCCGTTGTGAGACGACAGGGCTCCAAAGAGCTGGCTGCAAGCTCTGTAGCAGCTGCTGTTGCTGCTGCTACCGTAGACTCCGACGCCGGCACAATTAACACTACTTTCAATATCAGCATCAATGCTACTAATAGCCCTGTCAACTTCGGCACAACCCACGGAATCGTTTGTAACTACGGTACAGGTGAGTTAGATAAGACGAGATGATTGTCTGTAATTTATCCCGTTGTATGCATTCAGTACATTGGCATGGGATTCGAACCTACGTCCTACGTCTGACTGGTGAAGTATTGAGACAGAGGTCCTTGGTTCCAGTCCCACCCAATGATTAAGTCTTTTTCCTCGCAAGCTCGCAAACAGTGTTCAGTTCTTGCTATACAACGTAGCCTATTATGGGAAAAAACAATCTCTCAAAAAAACAATTCTAAAAAAAAGATCTTTAAAAAGTCTTTAAAACATGACTATGATCCTTGATTGATCTTCGAGAAATCAAAGAAACGTATTGAAATTAAATGAACCCATGCTGTTTTCCCTCAAATATAGCATCAATCACAGATGGAAGAGGGGAAGACGTCTCCCCTGAAGCAATCCAGATGCTAACTGAGTTGGAGAAATGTCTTGGGAAGAAAAATGTGGCAGAGGTGCTGTCAAAGGGTCTGGAGATGGTGAAAAAGCAAGGTATATAGCTAAATCACGACATCATCTTCTTGTTAGGTGGTCTCCCCAGCTCTCCTTTAAGTTATCGCGAGGGTACTTGTGCACGGAGCCCATAGGGCTTACAAGTTTGCATGATTCCCCGATAAAAAACAAGGAGCGTCAGTGAAAAATGAAGTTTTTCGTATCTGAAATTGAAAAGGTTGAGTCACAAATAGACCAGAATAAGATTTCACACCAAATTTAAGTGTGTCTCGTTAAAATAAAACAATCGTCAGGGCTTTGGGCTACGTTCGAATGACGAAAGTCAAACTTGTTCAGTTGCAACGAGAACGCTTGTCTGCACGCTGAGCGTGGGAATAACAAAAAGATTTACCAAAACATTTTGCTTGAAAAAAATCCAGTTGACCAATATTCATGTTTTTATTTGTTCTCCTTTACGACTCAGAGCCTTGAATATGAGTTTTGGTTTTTCCCTCTATTATAATAAGGAGGCCTTGATGACCCTTCTCATATGCCGAGACTCTCTGAAGCAAGCCAAAGTTCATCATCTGAAGCCATGGCCTCCTCTGCTACCGGTACCGATGCAACCTCATTGTGTATGGACGTTGCCGCTGCATCGAGTGGAATCGATAACATACAGATCTTGGACACTTTCCCTGAAAAGTCCGAGCAAAACTAATACAGGGCGGATACAGGGGTAGGGCGATATTGATCTGATATTACGTCCCCTTACAATGCACGGAAAGCGGACAGTGTCAAAGACTTTTCATATCTAGATCGGGTCGATAACCACTGGTTGACTCGTTCTGGTTCCCTGCTGTGCATTGCGATTTGAACGGCTACTGATAACCAGTGAGGCATTTATTAATAAACGGTGGTCGCTCCCACATAGTAAACAAGTCTGACAATTGCATCAGACCCATTAAAGTTTTGGCCGCCTAAAACACTTTTTTAAAACACACCCTTTTTTTATTTCGCTAAAGACATTTTTGTGTTACTATTAAAACCAAGAATTGTTTTAACTGTGACCTCGGAGAAACTTCTATTTTTAGCTCCTTTCGAGTCACTGAAATGGCACAACTGAAAGAAAAACTTATGACAAAGATGTGGAGGAAACTCTACAGCACTGCAAAATGCAAAAACAAAATGTTCATTCCTCTTGACCATGGTCAAAGCAAAAGAAAACATCACTACACTGTATATGCAATCTCGTTTTAAACGCGTTTTAAACGTGCGATAGTGTTAACTACACAATCATCAGTTATCAGAGGCCTTAGATTATGTCATTGCTTAAATCATTTAATGAAATACCTGAAATATACAGATAAGTCTCCAAATTCGGAGTTGTTAAGCTCGCGTTTAAACTAACAAACGACAATTTCTATAAGTGAGTTTGATTTGGTAGGTTTCCACCGCAAATAACATAATTACAGTAAATTCATATATAAATCTATATCATCTGAACAAACAAAATGAAATTTACATTGCAATGGAATTATACATGTAGTTCGAATAACACAAGCATCGGCCCTTTAATTCTTCCATACACATGTATTCAAACAAACTTTCTTACACCTTCTGCCTCAAGATTATATTATAATAGATATATTGTCTGGTAAAAATGCTATCTGTCCTATGTCCTCTCTCATTTAATCTAAAATTGTGTGTACCATAGACCATTTGCTTGGCTGTAACATTAAATACCAGCTCTTTGCCAGGCTATCCTCTCTACAAGCTTGTGAGATTTAAAAAAAAAAAGTACAAGTTATAGTTATATTTTTTATATTACAAGGTGTACAATGTATGGTAAATCACTTGCTTTTTGTGTATTTTATTTTTGTGTATTTTATTAAAAATCTTTAGTAGGGTGCCCAACAAGTAACCTGTTAAAGCTCAGTGATCATACATCTTGATAGGCGCGCATACCATATACGTACATAATTTTAGTGTCGAAAATTTACAAAACAATAGCGTCGAAAAATGCCAAATACCGTCACAATGATACTATCAACTTATATATCAAGCAATCTAAAACCCTACCCAGTACTAACCGGGACGACAAGGAGTGGGCAGACATACCCAACGGTCACACTGGACCAGGCTGGAGTCTCAGAACTCAGGTTTTCTGACGTATTTCCTGACCCAATTGTGTGCTCCAAATCAGACAGATTCAGCAATGGGAAAAAAGGACAAGATCCCGCGAAACCAAATAACGCGGTAGACTAGTTTATATATCCATGCGCGTTAAAATACACTTAAAATTTGACTGCTGTGATGTGGGATGATGTGCTATGCGCCCCGAGGGTGTTTAAAACGTACGTCACATCCGAAATCAAATCACAGCAGTAAAATTGTTCTTTTATACCTTTGTCTTGATTTTCTTAGATTTTGATGTAAAATCACGAAAAAAAACCACCAGTATTAAACACAACAATCACGATAATCGAACGTCAAGTCACATGCAGTGTCGTGTGCTCGAAACAGCTGATCGTCTGCTAATTCGCTGCTCCCACTCATGTGTTAAAACATGGTGAAAATAACGTGGGTACCAACGATACAAGCGTTTCACACCGTACGTACAAACACGTACACCCAATCCCACAGGGAGTGTGATATGACTATTTAAACACTTAACACGTGATCGTTCTAGGCCAATGAAAATACAGCATTCAAGACAGAGGTATAGCAAACATAGCTATTTGTAGTTAAATAAACTAAATTGAATTTGTCATTAAATCAGTATCAAACGATCCATGATAATTTAACCAAGCAATGCTAGAAAGTAATCCCACATAAATGTGTGTAAATAAAATTTTCATTGGAAAAGAACTCACTTTTTAGATGACATGCGTGTAAATACCATATACTCTAAAGTACACCAACTACAGTATACTCGTTGCTACGCAACAAATAGAGGCAAAATAAATGCATTTAAAATAGTACGAGCTAAAATAATTCATCAAAACTTTCAGTCTGAATTAAATGGTCTTAAACCTAAATAAAATTGTAAATCAATTGTAAATTTTGTTTGTACAAGGATATACATGTACAAAGTAAAGGTAAAATATAAGCCATGGCTGAAATAAATTTGGTATTGAGTTGTACGTATGAAAATGACAAGATATGAATGATGTTTGTATATGATGCTACCCGAGTCTCATCCATGGACCAACCGTAGGCATATTCACTTCAGTTGCCCGGATCCTGACAATTTCCACAGTTAACTGTCTCGATACCACAAGCTACTTAGTTATTAATTTGAACAGGATTTCGATTCAATCAATCTCAATTCATCGTGTATTTGGGCGATTTTGTCCTGGTTCGCTTTCTGCCTGTCTGGCATGTGCTATAGTCGAGTCCTTCACAAGTCCGGTCAAACATAAACCAGAAAAATACAGTCAAATCCTCCATGTAATGGGGGATGAAGAAAAACAAAGGAATAGGTTTTTTTTGGTCAAAGTTCAATTTAATAGCTTGTGACTTAACTTGTGAATGTAGGAGTTGTGATGACTTGTGGAGACTTGTGATGACTTGTGGAAACTTGTGACTTGACTTTAAACTACAGGTCTTTTGATGGACTTTTGTAGTGTGGGACTTGTGACTTGACATGTGACTTGAAATTGTAGGACTTGCGATGGACTTGTGATAATTTCTGGGGACTTAGGATGGAGTCGACATGTCACTGCAGTCTGGCATACTTATCTTCTGTGAACTCAGTCAGTGGAACTTGCCGATGCGCCATCAACCACGGCCTCAGAAACAGCACCCTTGGGACGGTGAACGCTGTGTTCCAATGATGCTCTCCATGGTTCCTCCAGAGAACCACCGGTGATGACCGGCAACGAGAACGGTAGTTTCTCGGCCATGGATGTCAGCAAGGGGACCAGCTCTGCATGCTCCGGACGTCCTCTGCAGTATTCCGCGATTGTACGGATTTCCTTCCCGTACTCGGATCCCAACTTGCTTATGGTGTGTTTTTCCAGACTGCCCCGGCCATATTTAATCTGAGCTTTTTTCAAGTCCCCCACAACCTCTTCCATTTGAGGTCCGTCTCCACTGGCCGGAGGTTGACGTAACAATTGGAGGTACCCTTTCAGAAGCTCGGCAAAGTTACCGGAGAATATGGTTCTTTCGGGTTCGCAATGGATCGCCTTCTTGAAGTATTCGATCGCGGCGAGGTATTCTCCCATGTCAAAGAGACAAAGTCCCTGCAACAGATGTACCATGGTTCGTGTCTCCCCGTCTTCACAATCGGCTGCTTTTCTGAAGTAGAGCAGTGCTTTTTCTAAGTACTGTCGAATCACCGTATCTTTCTCGTTCTGGCTCTTGGAATGTTTGGCAAGGAGATGATAAGTCTCACCCAAGTAGGAATAATCCCAAGGTGTGTCCCTCATACCAAGAGCCTTTTCAAAGTCTGTCTTGGCTTCCTCCAAACTTTTCACACCTGGAGAATACCTGTAACGTGGATTGCCCCTCTCAAACTCTCCCAAGCAAAATTTGTAATTGTGCAAGTTTATTCTTCCCCTCGTCGAAAATGCATAGAAGTTATTTTCAGTGCTGTCCAAATCAATAGATCGCTGGAGCAATTCCATTGCTCTTTTGGTGCAATCTTTCTTCTTTAGGGAGTGAACAAAATTGGCATAGCGGGCCCACATCTTGGGATTCTCGGGGGCAATTTCTGCTGCTTTCTTCATGCATTCTTCCGGATCATCTCGGTATACATTCAATTCAGGACGGAATGTGTAATTCTTAAATTCTCTTTTCTTTTTGGTACCCCGTATGAGGTCGGCCAAGTTGCGCCAGCTCTCCCATTTGAATTCGGCGTCACCTGGAGTGCTTTGGGTAACTTCGAAGAACAAATTCTCTGCAATCTTAAAGTTGGACGCAGCTTCAGTGAACTCTCCTTTGTAGGTCAAGAACTTGACAATTTTGTGAGCATTTTTGGCCTTGCAGAACTTCCAGTTATCTCTCTCCAATGGATCCACCAGATCTCCGCCGAGTTGGAACGCATCATCGTACAGGTGATTTGCTTGGAGGTACCTGGTCTCCCCAGGCCTATCGACGTGGATGTCACATGCATAGGCATACGCTTGCTCAGCCAGGCAACGCGCCTTTCGGCAGCGACGCTGTTTGATCTCGTCTGGCGACATAGCATCACCAACTTGCAACAAGCTGTCGAGTGTGGCTTGGTGGAGCTCTGCATCTGCCCTTCGGACGAGCTTCTCCAAAACATCCTTCTGATTTGCTAGGGCATTCAGGTTGTTGCAATCCTTGGACAGCACGTCTTCAAAACGACCCAGGGCACTCTCGTAATCTTTGATGATGAACGACAGCGCCCCCATGACGTTGAGAATGGCCAATTCTTCCAGACGACCGAGCCTTACCTTTAGGTCGTGCTCTAGCTCAGTAAGTTTCGTCTTCAGTAGATTGTTGTCGACATTGGGTTCATTGAATGGCAATGGCAGAAAGAAATGTCCTGGCACGACATCTCTTTCACCTTCTTCTATCCGTTCATCACCAACTGCTGCGTCAGCCATGTCTCCGAAATTAAACCTGTGGTAGAAAAATAAATCCAAGAAAAGCTAGAAATCAACGTATGATAGACTCCGCCACCTAAAAATTTTTTTTTACAAAATGTCTTCGTAAAGTTTGTGATTTCGTTCTTTTAAATTACCACAATATTGATAAGACCTTAAGTAATTGCTAGGATAAGGCCTCATCTCGACCGGTTAGGAAAGCACTGCGTTTTTAACACACTTTGAGTACACAATGTCATAACATTATACTGGTGCTTCCAGACGATGTTTTTAACATATTAACTCGGTGACAGTCTTGTTTTATAGTTGAATAAAAAAACTGCCTGGAGTGGGGTTTGAACCTGCGACCTCCGGATTGCCGTTCCGGGGCTCTATACTGAGCTATCCAGGCCTGTGTTGGTGGTCTCCTATTTTGTCAGTGTCTTTTTTCCAAACCATTTTTGGTGACAATCTTGATACGTGATTGGATATGAATAATACACAAGTTATTATAGGTGGAACTGCGATGTGATCTTCGAAACCTGGAATTAGTCAACTAGCCCAACAAATGTGGCCAATTTACTGGACTACCTCCGTAAATAATGGCCATACTTCCACCATGTACAAATACATATCAAACTTTGTCAAATTTTGATTTTCACATTTAGGCTTAGTTTGTAGGGTTTTTTGCTTTAGAAGCATACTCACCCTATTTATAGGCTAATCAGAAAGTGCTGCCTTTTTCGTGAAATTTGAAACTTTGATACGGAAACGTGTGCAGACGAATCTGGAAATTTCACGAAAAATAGACGTGAAAAAAGGCAGCACATTCTGATTAGCCTACAAAGAGGGTGAGTATGCTTCTAAAGCAAAAATAAACTACAAACTAAGCCTATATGTGAAAATCAAAATTTGACAAAGTTCGACATGTTTTTGTACATGGTGGAAGTGTGGCCTTTATTTACGGAGGTAGTCCAGTAAATTGGCCACATTTATGGCGCTAGAAGTCAACGAACATAGGCCATATCAAAGCAGTCAGGTTTCGCAATTTCTTGAAATGAGTGCAAGTTTGAGGAAGAAATGAGAAGATAACAGATAATGTACGCCTTTCGAATGCTAATTTGATATTAAAACAGAAGGGCAATACATACATAAATCATACAAAATTAATAAAGTAATAGGCAGAAATTCAAAACACAAACATTAATTGACTTACTTTTAAAAGTTATGGTTGAAGTAAAATAATATTCTGGTTGAAGAGAAGTATACTGTCTACTGGTTGTCTAAAATGGCCTGACGGAAAATGTAGGTCTCCTGAAAATAATATATATGAATTGTTTTAATTATAATTTAAAACAAAATGTGAACACAAATACCTGCTCATTCTTGGTTTGTTTTAGTCTATAAATTGGAATAAAAACGCACAACGAGGCAAGCTTAATAGGAAATACACCGACTGATTGTGTACTGATTATTGTATAAAATGCCCAAATCAAGTTTTAAAAAATACCCCAAATTGTCTCAAATTAATTTCCACACTGCAACCGTTTACGGGGAACCATTATAGCCTTTTCAGATGATGGCGAACAAAATAGGAAGGCGCTGTTTGAGTTTGGTAAATTTTGGTAAAATGCTAAATAGTTTACACAAACCAAATGGCGTGCTCCTATCATATTAAAATATGAATTTTTAATTATTGAGAACCTCTTTAACATGTTTTGCCGATGTGGATATCAAAGTTATTTTTTAAAATTCTCAAGTTTAAGCCTACCTGAGCTCTCAATATCATCATAACAAGATCAAAACTGCAGCAGCGGTAGGATGCATACAAGCGGAGATTAGAAACAGTCGAGAGGCATCGCGTTTGTTGATATGCCAGTGTATACGTGTACATGTACACGGACCCCGCTGCAGCCCCACATTTCATAAAAAGCTATTTGCATATGAATACGATTACTCACCGCTGGGATTTCCCACAGATGAGAAATTCTAAACCTGAACTTCCTCGTACTCGTACTCCGCGGCCATGAACCGAAATCACGCAGTATATGGGATGATTTTTTCACCAGATTAGGATATGTGATTGGATACCAACCTGCTATACGTCTTGTCACAAGGTTACCAACGCTGGTTGCCATAGTGACCGTTTTAGCCGATTTTCGGCTAACTTTGACAGATTTTTTGTAAAAAAATGAGTTTGACAGAAATTTGACAGAATGGATTTTTTTGGCTGATTTCTGGCAGAATTTTGCAAAAATGGTTATTTGACAGAAAAACAGAAAATGTGAAAAAAATGGTACATTTGTTTTAAAAAGCTTCAATCTTTTCAAACAAACCCCTGCATAATGGGACAGGTTGGCTGGTCTAGGTGCTGAGGCTCACTGGGAACCGGACTTCAGCGTGACGCAACTGTTTTTTGCCTGAAATTCACGCAATTTCATAACATCTTTATGACTATAGATTGTTAATATTTGTAATTTGAGCCTTAATTAAGGCAGTATAACTACAACATCTGCATGTGATTTTGAGTGTTTATTTCGAGTAATTTTGGGGAATTTGGCAGATTTTTAATAAATCTGACAGATTTTGATGTGCATTTAGCAGAATTTGGCCATGACCTTACGGTCACCCTGCTGGTTGCACGATTGCACATTCGCGCGCACGTCACTGCACAATCCTTTGCGCATTCTCACATTATTCGGTACAGAAAATTATCAGCATGTACCGGATGTTTTGAAGAGCTCGAACAAAATGATAGACTTTTCCCAGCCGTCCACACACTTTACGAATATTCTCTTGTTGGGGACAACCTGGTTAAATTTCCTGATGACACAACCTGATAAAAATTCCTGATGGCATTACCAAAAGCATTAGCCATTTTGAAATGTATTTTTCTCTTCTGCTCTCTCTTGATCTTGGCGTTTAAATGTGTGAAATTAAAAGGACACCGTAAAACCTGTGACCTTTAACATCTATGGCGTTTCTAAATTAAACATGCGCAGTTGGGAAACATGTATGTCAACAGTTTGCAGTCGTACTGTGGATGGTGCCCCACCCAATGCTCTTACCGAAGTCGTTGATTAGTTTATGGCTGAGGAAGGATTTCTTTAAATTTCGGGCAGGGTTTTGTACTGTCGGTGGGGAGGGGGCTCCGTGCCGAAGTCAGTCCCTCGTCCGGATTGATGAGGTTCTACCGAAATTTACTGTATTTTGTGGATGTCGTTTTCAAATGTGCAGTGTACGCCATAACGACGACAAAGGATATCGTGCTAGTTCCCGTAGCTAATATTTGGGAAACTGCCAGGTACGTACGTTAGCTTTTACGGCATGTTTGGCTTAACATCATGTGCCCAAACACACGTACCCCCGCCCCAGGTTCTCTATAAACAGTGATGATTCGTCAATGGAAATAATTGCAGGCTCTTTATTATTTTGCTGGCATGGGGAAGGGAACTGTTTTGTCATACCTTTGGATTTGAAATGATTGGTGTCTTGATGTTTATAAGCCCAAATATCACCACCATCACCATTATGTCATCTCACCATGATCACCACTAACACTGTCGTGATCATCACCATCCCATCACCACCATGATCATCTTTGACAACATGACCACATATAATATGACCCCATACGGGATAACAATCACTATAACCACCACCACCACCACCACCACACTATCATGATCATTACTGACACATCATCACCATATCATCTTGAACATGACCACACCCTTGGCCCATACAAGGATAAAAATCATCATCACCAACATCACCACAACTACCACCGTCATCACTATAATGATCATCACCCTCGCATCACCACCATAATCGTCTTTGACAACACTCATGGACCCATAGACGGATACAAATCACCATCGTCCCAACTACCACCGTCATCATCATCAGGGTCATCCCAATAACATCATCTCCATAATCATCTTTGACAACCTCACAATAGCCTGGGGGCCACACATGGATAAAAAAAAATCATCATCACCACCACCACCATCATCATCACTATCAGGATCATCCCCATCCCCATCAGGATCATTTCATCGCCACCATATTTTCTTTGACAGTATGACCACACTCATGGGCCCATTAGGTGATAAAAATGATAATCATCTCCACCATCATCATCACTATCAGGACCATCATTAACACATCACCAATATATCTTTGACATGATGACCATTCGTGGGCCCATACGGGATAAAAATCACCATCACCTCCATCATCATCATCATCATTATTATGAGGATCATCCCCTCACTAACACATCACCTCTTGTCATCTATTACAACCAGACCACCATAATAATCACCATCAACCTCACCATCTCGCCCCCACCCTGGACCCAGTACAATTATCAACGTCAGGGCTGTATCATCAACCCCCATCATATCCTTACGAACCCCCACCATAATCACCATCCTGTCCCGTGACCCAAGCCTGGATGTTGGAATTGGTAAAGCAAAATACGCTGTTCATGTGCACCGGACTATAAAAATCAGTGTTCAGTACTCAGCCAGCTCGTACCAGCCATCAACGATTAGATTGGGGTGTTTTTTCAGGGGGGGGGGGGGTGATGAGAAACAGTTTGATTTATTTCATATTATCGCGTCAATATGTGACACCAAATGCAATTTAAAGTTTTACTGCAAATTATAAATGAAATGCAGCAGGTGGAAAGTACAACTGGATATTTTTATATTTGTCTTCTGTTAAAAAAATGATAGATAATCTTCTCCCTGCTATGGGGGAAAATGCATAAAAACAATTACTACACTCTGCACTCTAGTTTTGTTCCCTCCATTTTGTGTTTAAAATTTACTATAGTCTAAATGATTGTTCGGACACAATGACAAGATTGTTGGATTGTACTGTAGATTTTTTTCTCAAAAAGATGTACCCCTCACAGTTCAAAATGGATCAATAAAATGTAGCCCGTCCCACCTCCCTATCCAGTACGTGGGCGCTGCTCAACTCTTAATTGAATTCTCATTGGAAACTTACCGGTATTGTGTAGCCAGTGAAACGGGGGCAGCACTTCCGTTTGTGCACAACAATGTACGCGTATTGTTTGTGGCATGTTACCCACAAAACTTTCGACACACCGGCCTTTCCTTCACAAAATGTTGTGGGTGCAGTGAACTAATTCAAGTGAGAATTTCTACGCGAGTCATTAGCATAAATAGTACCCCCGCAATTTCTTTTGAAAACGGAGACCGTTTGGCTTTAAAAACGGTGGAATTGTGTAAATGTAGCCAAGGATCAACTCCCTGGTTTTTGGGCTTCCATATGAGGGCAGGCTTGATAAAATTACGGTTGAAAAATGGGTCTTATTTGCCTGAGAAAGTGGAAGGATGCCACTTGTAAAACGGCTACATGCAGGCTTGGGAATTATCACTTTTCGGGAGGTGAATTTGTTTTGGTGTGAATATTTAAAAATGTAATCGGCTAGTCTACCCAAAATTGAAAAGAAATGAAAAGATGAAGTACAAGACAATAATGAAATATTTGTTTGAGAAAACCCCAGTGATGTCGGCTTGCATGTTATTTGGCCCTGAACTTTGTTGATTTTACGCTGTTTTCAATGGGGCTTGAATTGGTTCAGTGCACCCTTGTGAAACGGGTCAGAGGTTGAAGAGCATAACCATGAAACGATCATCCGGTCGTGATGCGCGAGTGAGTAGGCCGGACGCAATCGACCCCTTATGTCCAGCCACAGTCCGAAAAATCTTTGGATACCCCCAGGAAATATAACTCTTTATATGCTACCCGTCCGCATGTAGGCATAATGTAAACTTTAATAAAACTGCCATAGGAGGTATCAGGAAACAGTGACTGTTATTTCAACCATAGTTTCAACCATGAACAGTGTACGGGAGAAATGCATGCAGTTTGTAGCAGGACCGGAAACTGGGGTAAGAGTGGTGACCCCAAGCAGCGTCCTCTCTTGTTCGCGTACGGGGTCCATAAAATCAATCCTTCAAAAGTACGCCATATCTAGAAGTTTGTTCGGATCATTTCCGTAACTGTCTGGCACATGCACGGTTACATTTACATTTGTTTCTTCCCAACAGGTAACTGTATCAAGTTGATCTGCCCGTCTGAAATTAAATTCCGTCTCCACTGTCACCATGGCAACGAATATTTCACCGGGGCTTTTTCACTTAGATCTGCCTTTCAACAAACCGGAATTGACAAAAGACGCATTCAAGATGAAGCTGCTCGACATTGAGGCAGATTTGGAGGCGCGAAAAGGCCGACCTGAGGAACTTGCCATCCTCAATCTGATTGGTGTGTTCAATTGCCGGCTCGAACGCTACAAGGATGCCGAAGAAAAATTTCGCGATGTCCTCTCTAAGGATGAACATAACCTCAACGCTCTAGCAAACATGCAGTACGTGTTGGATAAACTTTACAGAACAGTAGAAGGTAGACGATACAAAAGCAAACTAGACATGTTCCTAAGTAAGTCTACGGAGGAGGCAGTCGGTGTTAGGATGAAAGCAAGGTGCTTAGCAGAGCAGGCATATGCTTATGCTTGCGATATGCACACAGATCATGACAGCGTCGGTAGAGAGCGGTTCGTAGAATCCAATGATCTCTTCCAAAGGGCACTGGATCTTGGTGGGGATCTAGTAGAGATGGCGGAGAAGGACTTTTGGAAATTCTGCATCGCCAAGAACGCGCATAAGATCTTCGACAGGTTAAGCTACAGTGAACACCAAGCTCAAGCCACAGATTACATGGACAAAGCTATAGAAAACTTCTATGAAATAACTCAAAAGGATCCCGGTGATGCCAAGTACCAAGGCGAAAGTTGGCGCCATTTGGCAGACATTCTCCGCAAGGTTCAGGAAAGGAAGTACTGCAGCTCTGACCATTTGCCGGAATATCTAGCAAAGTACATTGAAGACCCAGAGCTATGCATGAAGAAAGCACTCGAGTGTGACCCGGACAATCCGAGGATCTTAGCTCGCTACGGAAACTTTCTGTATCATCACAAGCGATACAAAACCGAAGAAGCACTAAGGTTGCTGAATAAGTCGATTGCACTAGACAAAGGCGACTATAACTTCTATGCTTTCAGTACGAGAGGAACAGTTCGGCTGAAGTTCTACAATTGGAAGATGCGAAAAGCGACGGAGGACAGGGAACGTCACTCCAAACCAGAACGAAGCGTGCTAGAACTCGCCAAATTTGATATGGAGAGGGCAATTGACATACGCCATGCTTCGTGGGACTTGCGAAATATCGCGGAAGTGTGTCACTTGTTGGCCCAGTGTGACCCAGATGAGCCGAAGGAGTCAAAAAGGCAATATCTGGAGAAGGAATTCGAGTACTTGAAAAGGGCTGCAGATTGTGAAGCTGGTAACCGGTTGATGTCAGTGAAACGCTTGCTGGGGCGCTGCTTATTCGACTTGGGCCACTATCGCGAGTCGATTAAGTCGTTCGGTGAAGCTTTGAATTTGCAGCCAGCCACTTCGCAGTATACAGGCTACTTCTATGAACAGTTTCGCAGTTATCTGTGCCTACTGCAGAGCGATCCGAAGGATGATTCCCCCTTGAAAGAAATGGCTCAGTCCTTGAGGCAGGCAGTTGCAAAGTACGGGACTAGCGCCCTCTTCAAGCACGGCTTTGGTAAATTGAGAGCAGAGTACAAACACGAGCTTCAGGTCTTCGCCGACTACTGTGAGACAATCCAGAACAACGACAGTCTTTTGTATGTGTTGACTTCTAACGAGCCCCCGGGACCTTTTGCTCCACCTCGTCGCCCTGGTGGGTTACTGAAAGAGTCTTGGGAAAACCCAGAGAAAGAGGATCACGGTGTTGGAGAGCCTGACAAGGGAAATTCCAAGACCTTGGACATCGACAGTCTGTCTCCGGTTGCACTATCTGAACAGGCTCCTAGCCTGATTGATGCCGGCAAAGATGTGGCCCCCTCACCAGATAGTGGGCTCGAAGCACCCAACCAAAACCCAGATGAACAAGCAAGTCAAGCTACCGAATCACAAGTGGCATCCAACCAAACCCCAGATAAGCCAGCAGATGGGGCTGCCGCATCACTAGTGGAGGGAATAAGAAGCATGGCCATTACAGATTCACCACCAGAAAAAGGTTCTGATCCGACGCTGAAAGATTTTGACTTCTTTGTGATACACACGGCGAATGACGCAGAGTGGGTGCACGAAGAATTGCTTCCCAAGTTGGGGATGAGAAAGTTAAAGGGGTCCACAACGCAAGAAAATTCTCTGGCAGGTTCCTTCGTCCTTAGCAATGAGTTGCATTTGATGGAAAGCAGTGCTTGCATTTTATTCGTCCTTACAAGTGGTTTCGAGACGGAGTGCAAGTTTCCCATGCATCATGCTCTGAAACTCAAGAAAGCCGGTCACGTCATTTTCCCGCTTCGAAGGGACAAGTATGCAGTTCCACGGGAGCTTCAAGATATCCTCTCTTGCTTCGATGCCACTCAAGAGAGGGTAAATTGGGATAAGTTAGCTCAAGACATTAAGCGTCAGATCGATGCAGCGAAGGACTTCGAGCATGCGTAGTCCACCGGAGGTTACACTCCAGTACTGTTACAGAGTGCTCATGCAGGTGCCGGCTTCGTTCCTCACAGTACAAACGCACACAGTGACTATATGCCTGCAATAGGGGATCCCCTATTGTCCGTCTTATGTTTGTACTTTTTAGGAAGACCTCGCATACGTTTTGTACAAAATCGTAAATTGGGGATCTTCGGGAATTGGGCATCATATTGTTCTCTATATTGTTCAACGTTCCAGATTGAATGCAGAAAAAAACTCATAAACACCACTGTTGTGTCCTTTGACACTGATGTGTCCAGCGCCACCTTCAGTTCGCAAAGTCAATCCCAGCTAGGTACCGCCGGCTCACCACACTGAGCTCACCATTAAATTCCGCCGGCTGAGTTCACATGTTAACAACAATGTACATTGTGGGTTTTGCCCTTCACCAGCGTATTTTATAAATACTGTATACCCAGTACTGTCCGAGTGCTTGCAAGAAAAAAAATCAAAAGCTTACTCAGGTAGGACTCCAACCCATAGCCTCCTGCTTACTAGTGCAGACGTCTTACCACTCGACCACCGCGCTTTCCCGGTTCGGCTGGCCGGTTCGAGTCTGATGATGTATAGATGCGGGTACCACAACCGAACTTTAAAAAATACGTCGTCGAAGTGCAAATCCCAATATAAAATTTACATCTCCCTGACGCAAATTCCATCTTATAAACAAAAAACATGTAGACTTGAGGACAAGTCGCTAGACAGTCGTGTTTTGTCCATCGGCGCCACCAATATCTACCAGCGCGCCTATATGTATTATGTTTATTATCTTATGCCCAGTCTCGACGCGCGTGATACCTACTTCAAAAGAACGATTTAGGACGGATATTCATAATATGCGACCACTATAGCGCAATGCATGTACATTGCATTTCCAAAAAAGAGGATTATTGGTGGCAGTCTAGCTGTACCCATGGAGAAGCATCCGTGTTATAGCTTCTATTGCAAGCTCACCAACAACTCAGACTAAGTATTTATCTTCAAACCAAAACGCTAACTCATTGCGATCAATCAGTGCGTTGTCATTCTTACTACCTCTTTCGCGAGGTAAACGTAAAATAAATATTTACCCGTCTCGATAGACGGAGCTGCTAGACATAGAAGTTTGCTAAGCGCACTTGCTCACTAGTAAAACATGTAATACCTGCCAAAGCTTTATGCAGTTTATGTCATTTTTGTTGTAATTGGTACTCAGCTGATTGGTGCTTAGTACCAAATTAAATTGCTAAACATTTTCAACGTAGTGCACATGCGCAGAAGCAGGAGGTATACGGGTAGGCAAGAATTACAATTTAGCCTAGTGTGGGTGCAAAACGTTCTTAGCTGGGTAGTTCACGATAGACAGTACATCCTTTGTACCGCGCAGCAGCATGCGGTTCCCATTCGCGAACCTGACTTACGAAGTAGACGAACCGCACGCAAAGTGCTTTGGATTGCAGACCAGTAAATAGACTGCATACATAGACCTCAGTGATAAATACGCGCATTTCCAAAAATTATTTAAAATGCTCACAACTCTCCAAGGTGTTTGAGAAACACATCAAATTAAAGCTATTTCATCATCTTTCATTTTCTGTCAATTTTTTTTGGGAGGAACCAATGTGATCACCTCTAAAAGTACTCCTGAAGCCCATCGCCATTTTGAAAAAAGACGCATATACGCTCCATTGCAAAAATAGAGCCATTCATTATTTTAGGGCCCTATTTCATCCGAATTTCACAGAAATACGAGCTCGCAGTCCTCTGCACGGCTTCCACTTTTTTCCATGTTATTTCTACTACAACCTTCAAGTTTTCGGACGTAAAAATGCTCTAATACCGGATAATTTCTGGGCATGCAAATCGTGATTTGGCCGCCATTTTCGTAGACAATTTCGGGCCTGTTTACTGGTCTGCAGCCTTTGCGGCCTGTTTATACCGTGTGTGTTAATTAAGGGCGCCCGCTACGCGTCGGTGAATCCCTTCACAGTCCAATGCACCACTAAGGATATCTTCGAACAAAGAGTACATTTAGCCGTGCATTGGTAAAAATGCATGCAGTATACGAGTTAGAACATTTTGGTCGAATTTCTCAAAATGGTGGGTTTTCCTATGAGTTGCCACAAGGGGATATAAGATTAAGCGGTATATGGTAAAAAAAAACTTGGGAAAAAAACCCACCAAGTGTGACGAACAGCACTGGCGGAGCAAATGTAAATAAATTTGAAGCAATTGTTTGTCACCATGATGTACATAATAATGTCAGGTTTCCAAAGTAACCAGAGCCTGATGACTTGGCGGAGACTATGTAGTTTGTTTTAAAGGCATATAGGATCAACTGCATCTAGCCCAATACCCGACCGAATTCAATTATCAAAAAGCTTGGATTTAAGATCTTACTGGTACTAAACACCCCGTCAAATTATTCTGTCTGCTGGCTTCCTCTGTATTTATTTCCAAACAACAGGTATCCATGAATAAATGAAAGTGTTGTGGAAAATTTTATTTCTTGTACATTGTGCATTGTACAATTCTTTAAACCGTTTTTGTTTTCAATAAAAAAATTATACTGTTGTTGTCAAAAATATAAGATTTTTTTTCTTTGATTGCTAGAACCTCTTTAACATGTCCTGCGGATTTGGATACTAGTAATTAAAATATTTTCTCAAGTTTAAGCCTACCTGAGCTCTCAATACCATGAACGAAATAAACATACAGCAGAACATGCCTACGACTCGTGTCATATGAGAATCCCTATTATTCCCTATTATTGGTTAATCCCTCGCACGTGACAGGTCACTCTCATATATATTATCCTATAAATAGCATATTATCATACTTAACGCGTGCGCAAAACTACCAACAAGTTCATATTTCATTGAGTCGGATATTCACGCTACACCGGAGAATATAAATAGTCGAGTGTGGAAGGCTTATCGCGCTAGTTGTACCAGCTGTGTTAACGGCACATTGTGCCACTGGCTGCAGAGTGGCCATAAACACATTTCATAAGCTATTTGCATATGAATACGATTACTCACCGCTGGGATTTCCCCCGATGAGAAATTCTGAACGTGACCTTGGTCCCACTCCAACCTCGTCCCCAGGGTTTCGAGCAGTACGCGCCCACCACTACCAGCTCTCTCACAATTGCATGTGCAAAATTGATGCAAATGAGGAATAGTCTGGTGCCTGCATGTGCGTTACATTTGCATTTGTTTTTGTATGCGGTGTCTGGGATAAAAGCAGAATCAATTCGGCGCAGCGCGAGCATGGCCAACCTCGTGCCCCGTGGGTACGATCTTGCAGCGCCATGTTGTTTCCCATCATGCCTTGCGCGATCGTAACGAACGAGCACGCGCCCCTGGAGTCGAGGCTGGAGCATGGCATGAGTTTCGAAAATACGATTTTATTTTAATAATGTTACGATCTTAACGAGACAACATGCAGTATCACATTTCATATTGATATGAACAAGTTGGAAAGGAGACGAATATTTTCGAGAAGCCGTGGACGAATGATCACGAAAACACGTACTGCACGTTGTGAATAACAACACCAAGTACACGATATAAATCCATTTCTAGCCAATTGCGGTATCGAATCAGGATACAGGAAGAAAGTTTCCTATCCAGGGCTTACTATTGGAAACGATGTTGTAAATAAAGTAAGCACTGGGGACGAGGTTGGGTTGCACTCGTACTTGTGCCTGCGCGGCCATGAACCGAAGGCACGCAGTACATGGGATGATATCGTTAGATTAGAATAGGATACCGTGATTGGATGCCGACCTGTGACGTCAAGGTCACCAACGCTGGTTGTTCATGTGCGCGCACGTCAGGTCAGTGCGCTTCACCCACAATCCTTCGCGTATTCTGACATGATTTTGTACAGAAAATGATCGGCCTGTACCGGAGATTTTAAAGGGCTCGAGCAAAATAATAGACGTTTTCCTCAGTCACCTACACATTTTAGAAATGTTCCCCTGTTGTGGACTACCTGACTAAATTTCCTAAAGATTTTGGGGAAAAAAGTAGTCATTAACCGTTTGAAATTGATGATTTTGTTTACTGCTCTTCTCCTTTCTTGCCATTTAAAAGTTGGCATTAAAATTATGTACTGAAAAACAAAGACCTTTAACCTTTAACACCTATGGTGTTTGCAAACATGCGCAGTATAGGCAATCCCAATTGCATGTCGACATTTTGCAATCGTACGATGATGGTGCCCCATCGAATGCTCTAATTGCCGAAGTCGATTATTAGTTTATGAGTGAGGAGGGATTTCTTTAATTTGTGGGCGGGGTTTGTGGAGTCGTTTGGGCGGTGGCTCTATGCCAAAGTCAGCCCCGGTTGTCGTCCAGATTCAGGAGCTTCTACCGAATGTACTGTTGTGTATTTTGTGGATGTGGTTTCAACTACGCAGTGTACACGATACTGACGAGAGAGGACATCGACTACTTCCCTAACTAATGTTTGGGAAACTGTCAGGTACGTATGTTTGCTTTTATGGCATGTTGGGCTTCACATCATGTGCCCACACACACACAAGTACGCCTCTGCCCCCAGGTTCTCTGAAAATATAGTGATGATTCGTGAATGAAAATAATTGCAGGTTCCCTTATAATTTTACTGGCATGGGGAAGGGAACTGTTTTTTCATACCTTTGAAATGATCATCGGTGTCAGTGTTTATGAGCCCACATATCATCCCCATCACCATTGCCCCCATGCAGGTTCTCAGTAGTGATGATTCGTGAATGGAAATAATTGTAAAGGCTCCCTTTTAATTTCACTGACATGGGGTAGGCACGGTAAGGAACAGTTTGTGTCATACCTTTGATTTTTTGGTGTCTGTGTTCACAAGCCCAAGCCAAATATCACCACGATTACCATTACGTCATCTCCACCATGATCACCACTAACACTATCATGATCATCACCAATTAACACATCACCACCATATCATCTTGACAACCTGTATGACCCCATACGGGGATAAAAAAAACAAACACCATCATCATAGGCATCATGTTAATTACTAACCCATCACCACCATCATCTTGGACAACCTGAGCAAATCCATGGCCCAACAGAGGCATACAAGTCACAATCAATAGCATCACCTCAAACGTCACCGTTATCAATCTCAGGATCATCACCATCACATCACCACCATATTATCGTGCTTGAAAACCTGGCAACACTAATTGGCAACAAATGTATCAACCATCATCATAACCATGACCACAACTATCATCAGTGTCGTAGCCACGGGGGGGGGGGGGGGGGGGGGCGTAGGGGGCGACAGCCCCCCCCCCATGAAACCTGTCGCCCCCCCAGTCGCCCCCCCCCCACTGAGATTTTGAGTTTCTAAAAAAAATTATCATTGATCTACATGCCGCCCCCCCCCCCATGAAATGTTCCAGCCCCCCAGCGCCCCCCCCCCCCCACTGAAAAATTCCTGGCTACGCCACTGACTATCATGTTCCCCATCACATCATCACTATAATCATCTTTGAAAACCTGACCGCACTCATGGACCCAAACATATCACCATCACCACAACTGCCACCGTCATCAACATCAGTATC